TGGGGTGTTGGCTTAGACTATAAATCATCCATGAAGTCCTTGTGTACTGCTTAACCAAATCGAGATGTTATTAAACATCCTTCAAAACAGCACATGCAGTCTATGAGTCACACAAAGAACAAGCCAGCTCTGTGTCATTCACCTTAATAAGTGTATGCACACACAGATGATGTGCTCAACTCCATTTTGTCTGCACAACAAAATGGTTCTGGAAGATAGATATCTTGACTCTACTCTCCAAAAGTATAACCACTAACCAAGGGAATTGGGAAACTCTTTTCAGCCTGAGGTCCACATTCTCTTGTGAGCAAATGTCCAGGGAACCAGTACAGTGGTACCTCATTTAAGAACAGTCCGGTTTAAGAATGATTCGGTTTACAAACCAGAAGTAGTGTCCCAGTTTGAGAACTTTACCTTGGTCTAAGAACGGAATCTGAATGGTGGAAGGGCACTGGCGGCGGGAGGCCTCATTAGGGAAAGCACACCTCGGTTTAAGAATAGTTTTGGTTGAAGAACGGACTTCCGGAACGGATTAGGTTCGTAAACCGAAGTACCACTGTAGTGGGGTGGAGTGGAGCCAGAGGCAAAAGTGGTCACATCAGTAGGTTTGTTCCAGCCATGAAAATGTTGGTTGTTTATACACATATCTCTACCCTCTTTTCAGGCAAGCAAGAGGCATTATCACATTTAATGGACATATTCCAGCCAAGCAACAGCACTCAAGGCAGGCATGATCTGTGGGGGAATGTATGGCCTTCGGAGGGGCGTGGTCTGGAGAAAATTGCAAGGACCAAGAAGAGAGATAAGGAGGACCAGAATTGGGACTCAGGTTTGACATCTCCAGCTGCTGTTCTCACATTTCACTGTTGGAAGTTTGCAACACTTCAGTTTTCAAAACAAGAATTACTGCACAAACTTCCACCTGCATTATTCCATATTGATGTGCCTAGCAGATCTATAGACTCTGAAATAGCCTTTCCACCACTAAATTAAAAAAACAACAACCAGAGATTGCTTCCATCTTTTTGTTAAATAAACCATAATTGCACTACAATATATTACCTGCGGTTTGTAATTTCTGGTTCAGCTGAGGGCCAGTTCCAGATTTCAGGGAGACCTCTCCCACAAAGGCCTCTTCTAGGTGGGAGAATGCAAGCCATTACATTAAATTGCTTGCAGTGCTCTGGAGTGCTTATCAAGGCACTATGGATTATTAAAATACCATAATCTAGCTACCTATTGTCAGGAGCTCAGGGCAGCCATCAGTCATAAGCAGGGATGGATCAGTTGATTTCTAGTCCTCCTCAGTTTCACATGAGTTCATTCATAAACCTGTTCCACCCCATTTCTGCATAACCTTGCAGATTCTTGTAAAATGTCAGCAATTTCAACATTTGTTTCACAAAACACATTTCCCCCTATGGGATTTGATATAAAATATACATTTTCAAATGCACATTGGTACATTTTGTTAAGGAGCCTAGAACTGTATTTATTGCCAAATTCAGAAAAGTGTAACTTCTGAAAAAATAACTGCATTCTGTTTACATGTTTATTTGACACTTGAAACAATAGCAATATTCCAAATTTTTAAAAACCCACACAATTAATATTGACTCCCCTCCTCCTCCCTTCCATGCTGCATTTTATTACATTCTTTTCCACTATATATTATGATGTTTCCCTGTATCTTATTTTCCCTCATCTTTGTATCGCAGTATTTTTAACTGCTGAATTAATTCTATTCCTGATAACTTTTTAATGTATTTACAATGTCTCCAAATAATCTATAAAACCAATCTTCCAATCTTTCTCAAATAGGTTTGTTTTTTTTTATCCTGATCTATTGGCTTCACCTGCCATTCTTCCTTCATCAGTACTGTATCTTCCCTCAACTTCTTGAGCATACACTATTCATTTTGCTGTAGTAGCATACATAATAAGAGATTTATGCTCTCTGGGTATGTTTACATCTATTATACCTAAAAGAAAAGCTTCTGCAGTTTTGACAAACGTCTTTTTAGACATTTTTTTCAACTCATTTTATATCATTTCCCATAATGTTTTAGAAAAAAATGACTGCATTCTGATCCACATATTGGCCTGGGAAATGTGAATTAGTTTAGTTTCTAATGAAACACTCGAGCACACATAGTGGGCCCTTTTGGAATACTGTGGCCCCAATAGTCACCCAAGGGTGTTGGGTGTTGGCACTGGGACTGGCTCAGCAGTTCTCAGTGTGTGAGATGGTAAGCTGCCTATTGCATGGCACCTTACAGTCCATACATTTTATTTGTGTGGGTACTCGATATTAGTTGTGGCCACCCCTCTCTCAGAGAATTAAGTCCTAGAAGGAACTGAGCACCAATGAATGAAACAGGAAGGGCTGTGGCTCAGCAGTGCAGCATCTACCTTCCCTGCAAAAGGTCCCAAGTTCATGCAGAGCTGGGAAGAGACCAATGTCTGAAATTCTAGGAAGCCATTGCTCTTCAGTGTATGTAATATAGTGGTACCCTGGTTCTCAAATGCCTTGGTACTCAAACAACTTGAACCCAAACACTGCAAACCCGGAAGTAAGTGTTCCGGTTTAAGAACTTTTCTCAGAAGCCGAACATGCTCTGTTTTGAGTGTTATGATTCCATTTTGAGTGTTATGCTTCCGATTTGAGTGCCACTCTTCTGTTTTGAGTGCCACACTTCTGCTTTGAGTGTTACGCTGAGATGTGTATGCTTTTGCTATTTATTTGCGTTTTTGTTTCTGTGGCTGTGTGTGTGTGTGTGTGTGTGTGTGTGTGTGTGTGACTGTGTGGAGCCCAGTTCAGCTACTGATTGACTGGTTGAGTGACTGCATTACATTGTTTATTGCTTTCATTTTTTGGATCAGTTAGTCTTGTCAGATAGTAAAATTCATGTTAAATTGCTGTTTTAGGGGTTGTTTTTAAAAATCTGGAATGGATTAATACATTTTGCATTACTTTCTATGGGAAAGCGCTCCTTGGTTTTGGAACTCTTTGGTTGGGAACGGACTTCCGGAATGGATTAAGTTTGAGAACCAAGGTACCACTGTACTGAGGAAGATGGGCCAATGGTCTGGCATAGTACAAAGCAGCTTTGCAGCAGCAACTGAACCTAACAATTATTTATAATTAACTAGAGATAAGAAGAAGCAGGCAGGGGAGGCTACCTGCCCCATGTATATCCTTGGTGTTTTTTCTGGTGCTTTTGCTTTTCGCCGGTAATAATATCCAAATCCAGACAGTTCAATTGCAGTGTTAAACATAAAAAATAATGACAGCTAGTTTCCCCCATGCCTCGATTCATTCCTGGACTTACAACAAGCAAAATTTGTCTTTTGGAGAGAAGAAAGGGGGGAATTAAACAAATCTTGGAGGTTTCTTGGTAGAAAAGCTTGCAGAAATTGCCTATGGTTAATTTAGCTTGTTTTTATTCCTTTTTCTATTATTTTATTAGCCTCAAAAGGTCAAGACAAGTTTTCATCTATGCTGGGGCTTTTTTAAAAGGTAACAGTCTGCACCAGACCCCACTCTGCTCTTCCTCAGTCATTTGGTTTTATTAAACATCAAAGATAAAGAGAGAGAAGGCAGCTGAAGCCAGAAAATAGCAGACTGAAACCATGGTCCTGGCTGTGTTCAATTAAAAAAAAGTAAATTCTAAATAAATTCAATTATTTCCGTGGGATTTACATCCAGGAAAGTTTTCATTTGTTAATGCATTAAATAAATTTCTTTGGTGCCTTTCATAATATTTTTTTCCGTCAAGGCATATAATAAAATACAACAATAATGTACACGAAATAACTGTCAAGGTTTTGCCACATAATGTCCCAATGTTTTTCAGAACTCCAGGTGGTCTGATGCTCTGCTGGGGCCCTTGCACAGAGAATTTGGTTATCCCATTTCATCACAGGAACTCTTTCCTTGTAAATATAGAGCTTCCTTATGTTCTATCATCTTCCTTTCTGGTTCATCACTGGGGTATACAGCACCAGACTCTCCCTTCTTTCATCCCTTTATCTCTTCCAACCCAGTTCCTCAGCCCTCCATGAGGCATTAGGGAATGTTGAATTTTTCAGCTTTCAAATTCCAAAAAGGCTATATATAAAGGCTAAAAGGTTATATGTAACATGACTTGATAGTTCAAAAAATATCTTAGTTAAATTGATATAATTTAGTTTGCTTGGCAATTAAAATGTGTGTAATATTACATACAAATCATTACAAATGATTGCCAAGTACTAGCAATTATTTTATACTATTATTATTTAGCATTACCTGACATTTTCAGAAGGTAAAATTAAAATTCTTTGGTTTTCCGAAAGCAGTTTATGTGCTTCCACATCAAATGTAGACTTACCAAGCTAAATGTAGTCCAAACAGAATAATAATACCAAATTTGAATTTCTCAACACATTATACTGAAAACTACCTGTGAGGATGGTTTGGAAACTTCAGCTGCTGCAGAATTCAGCAGTCAGGTTGCTCACCATGGTAAGAAGATATGCATATATAACACCAATCCTGGCCTAACTGCACTGCCTGCCAAATATAAAGCCTTAAATGGCCCAGGACCACAATACCTCAAGGATTGCCTCTCTCCATATGAACCAAATTGAATCCTTTGATCACCATCTGAGGCCCTTTGTTGTGTGCCCCCTTCCACAAGAGTTCCAGAGGTGTGACAACAGGAGAATGGGCCTTTTCTGTGTAAGTGCCTAGAAGTCCTGGAATCTCACACCACTTGGGAGATTGAGGTGGCACGCAACACTGGTTTTAGAAGTGGGATTCCTGCTTCCTGGTTGAGAACCTGTGAATGAGGTATGGCTAGGAAAAGTTGAAGTGAGGATAGCAACACTCATCTGTTCAGGTTGCAGGAAAGCCAGCCACTATGGAGCAACTTGAGCAAATGAAACAGCAGCAAAGCCAGCAAAAGATGGAGCAGCTTGAGCAAATGTTCCAGCAGTGAGGCCAGCTGCTTGACAAAATGGAGCAGCAGCTTACTGGAATGGAGCAGCTGCAAGCAGATTGTGTAAGAGGCTCATTGGAGAGGAAAGTTTTACTCCATGCACCTTGCCTGATGAGATGTCACAGGGCGCTGAATGTGACCCAGCTGCTGCAAGGCACCCAGGTGGAAGGGATGTCCAAAGAGATCCAGAGTGTGGATGGGCAACTGAAGGGCTGTGGCTGTGAAGAGTTGCAGTCAGTAACTGAAGGGAAGAAAGAAGGCACCAGCTTGGAGACTGTTGGTTGACTGGATCTTAGGAGCTGCTTCTGATTTAGTTCTCTAGACCCTGGGAGTCTGCTGTGGAAGAGAGGATGCAGGAAGAAAGCACTCCATTGGAGAGACAACTGCAAGATGGAGGTGAAGAGCCACTGCTTATAGATCTCATCACTCTGTATGTGCCAGCAGTGCAAGAGGAGATGCAAGAGGTGTGTAGGCATGAGCTTGCATAGATTAGGATTGCATTGTAAATGTATGAAATCTGTTGCAAAGACTATGGTTTGGAGGCATTTGAAAAGTTAGGCTTGCGGTTCCAGGGAGACTTACTTGGAAGTTAAGCCTTAGGAGCAGGCTTCGCAGCTCAACAGCAGCTATTCTTTTCCAAGGCCACACTCCGTGTTCTCCTGGCATGTTCCCAAGCACAAATGTGACAAGCTGTGGCTTCTGGAATGGTGTCATTAGCCTATTAATCATTTCATCCTCTGATGGGCTTTTCTGGCCCTTGTGCAATTAAACCAGGCTCTTGCATCTGGCTTACTAAGCAGTAAACATAGTTTGTTATTCTTCTCTGCTGGAGTTAGGCTATTTATGTATTTATTTACAGCAAACAAAAGAATCCCTGTCTCCTGTTAATGCAGTGCTCAGGAGAAGGGAAACAGGCTGGGCTGGGGGAGATGACTTATTTCAATCTGGGCAGATTTGTGACAGTTATTTGATTTTGATTTTTAATGGGCTAGAAAAGTCAAAGTAGCTGACTTCAGTCAAAAATACACCAATGAATGCAAAACAGTGATTGCTGGTGCTCATTGGTACCTGGAAGGGCAGAAACTAAAGAGAGCAAGTGTAGGTGGAACCACGACAAATGAAAGGCAGAGCCACCTCTAACTCAGGCCACATTAATACCATACATTTAAAGCACTACAATACCAGTTTAAAGAATCATGGCGTATTCCACAAAAAAACTAGGAGCTGTAGTTTGTTAAGGGTGCTTAGAATTTTTAAGCGGCCCCTGTTCCCCTTCCAGAGCTGGGGTTTGCAAAGTGGTGTTAACAACCAATTCCTCTTCCCAGGGAACTCTGAGAACTCTTACTTTTCTTAACTACAGCTCCCAGAATTCTTCAAGAGAAGCCATGACAGTTTAGAGTGAAATAATAGTGCTTTCCGTGTATGGTGTGCATGTTGGCCAATTGTAAGTAGGAAGGCAGATAGGAGGGGCTGGCTGATGGAAGGCTGATGTTCATGGGGCAGTGCCCCATTTGTCCTGGATTTATGCATAATCTAAACAAGCTAGAGCTTAGGGCCCCACTCTCTTGGGGGCCCAAAAAAATTTAAAGGGAGAAAAACTTGGGTGTACATTTCCAAAATATAAGATAAAAAACAAATAGAATAAAACCTACATACAGTTAGAGGTTAATAATTATTTCAGTATTAATATACTACTTCTTAATTGTATTTCACTATTAATATACTTCTTCTTAATTGTATTTCAGTTCAACAATTACTTTGATAAAATACATTTTTTGTTATGTGCAAATGGCTTTAGATACCTATTAGGTCCATAAATTACCATATAGCATATATTCAACACAAAAAACAACGACAATTTGCTGTTGACAAAGGTCAGCTGGCCATATAAAGGGTCCCATTACCTTCAGTGGCTTAGGGCCTCATCAAAACTAAATCCAGCCCTGGTTCTGGTGGGCCAACCTCTACTGATTAAAAGGACAGACACTCCTTTCTTGGAACCACCACCATGCATTGGTAGACTCAGTAGTCTAGTGCTATCATTGCTAGCCATGATTCAAAGAAGAACATATTTTTTATTAATTTAGGCTGTACTATGATTTTTTTTAATTGAACTTTCATTTTACCTGTGCTTTTTGTTTGTTTACAACACTATTGTCCTTGGTAGATAGTTTGTTTTATTGATTGTTCTGTAAACCCTTTTGTCATAGCCCATGGTGAAATGCATTCTATAAAGATTGGAAATCTTATTTATTCAAGAAATGAACAGTGGCACTTTTAGGTATTTTGGTCCCAAGCCATTTAGGGCTCTGTGTTCTAGTACTAACCAACTCTAGTACTAACGGGATGTGGCTGGCGCTGTGGTCTAAACCACTGAGCCTCTTGGGCTTGCTGATCAGAAGGTCGGCATTTCGAATCTGCGCGACAGATTGAGCTCCCTTTGCTTGCTCCTGCCAACCTAGCAGTTCGAAACCACACCAGTGCAAGTAGATAAATAGGTACCTCTTTGGTAGGAAGGTAAATGGCGTTTCCTTGTCCTCTTGCACTTGTCACGGTGTTCCTTTGCATCAGAAGCAGTTTAGTCATGCTGACCACGTGACCTGGAAAGTTTTCTGTGGACAAACACCAGCTCCCTCGGTCTGAAGCAAGATGAATGCCGCACCCAATAGTCACCCTTGACTGGACTTAAGGTCCAGGGGTCCTTTACCTTTACCTTTTTACCTTTACTAACCAGCTGAACTGGGCCCAGCAGCTATGTCCTTAATAGTGACTTGCTCTGCAGTGAGGAATCAATTTACTAATTAGGAATCAATAAAATTGCAACAAGTGGTTCTTCTGGAGCGATCCTAATATTGTTTAGGTCTGCTGAGATATTGCCCTTTGCAAAGAGATCCTCTTCTCATGATAACACATGCAATGGCATTGTTTTCCTTGCAAAAATGCACCGGATTTTGTTTCATGCTAATATAGAAAATAGCATTATGTTTATTTCTTTATTTAAAGTATTTATAGCCCATTCTTCATTGAAAGTTTGTAGTCCCAGAGCAGGGAACAAAGTAATAAAAGTAAGAGAAAACAACAATGTACAAAAATTACAAAATTGTATAAGCAGGGCCAAATAACAACTAAGCAATTCTTTCATAAGGTAAACAAGCATCAAAAATTAATATTTCCAATTTAACCAATTGCCCAGGTAAAAACATTCAAATAGATTTAAACAGATTAAACAACCAATTGTCTTAGCAACAGTTCCCATTGTCACAATTTCCAAGCACTGATTATTGACAGGTTGTATATATGAGATTGTGGCAGGAAAGTTAGCCATGAAAAGTAGTGTAGGTGGGTGGTGTGAACAAAATAAATAGGGATCTTTCATATGTCAGTCTGAAGGCCTAGATAGCATAAAGCAGTGCTGTTGGACCAAACTCATGGTCCATCTAGTCCAGCATCCTCTTTTCATACATTGGAGAATTATGTATGGTTATGGGAACAAATAAGCAGGGATTGTAACAGGAGATGAATTTATTTGATCCTATCTATCTACCTCAGGCTATGCTCTATCTTTGTCACCAAACTCTGAGTATAAATTGCACACTGTATTAATTGATATTGTTTTTAACATTAGTGACCATGTGATTATTTTAGCTTATGAATTTTATTGTTTAATGTTTTTATTTGTACATTGGGGTACTTTTATAGCTTTGTTTAGAGTATGTAATGTTTTAATAATATAAATGTTTTAAGTCTTTTTTTACCAATTCAGTATATTTTCTTTTAATTATCAAATAATTCTGTGTACATTGCAGCAGCCTTTGGCTATGTGCAATAAAACTGACTGAGACTGAGACTAAACAGTTCACAGAGAAGGCCTCCTTCTGCACCCCTACCAAATTCGACTCAGATGTTGACAAAAGCCTCTCCAGAATGTATGAATGGCTGAAGGGATTCATATTCACCTATCAAGTAGTGAGGAGATGCAGACATATGCTAAAATGGTTTCCATCCACATTCTCCTTCTGCTGCATATAGGTTACCTCCAAACCATACATTTGAAGCACATTAAATGTGCATTGCTTCCCCCTAAGAATAATGAAAATGGCAGCTTACCCTTCACAGACTTACAATTCCCAGCACCCTTAACAAACTGCATTTCCCAGGATTTCTTGGGGAAGGCACGTTCCTTAAATCACCTTTATGGTGTGGATGTGACCTGGCTAAAGGCAGCAGAAGGAGGCTTGAGGATGAACTGTCAAAGGAAGGAAGAAATGTGACTGCCTCCTGAAAAAGCTTTTTGAAAAGTGAACACTGATTAGCACAACTTGGAGGAAAAACCTCCACAAATAGAGGATTATGTTGGCAGCCCATTGCTACTTGGAACAATTGTAGACCAAGAAACCAAAGCAAATGTCTCACCAACCTATGGTCATTCACCTGCTCCTCAAGCTAACTAATTAGCACATTAAACCAATTATCGCACTCCCCCAAGAGCTGTTGTTGGGGAAAACCACTTAATACAAAAGATCGACTCTAGGTGTCAGAGTGCATGACTGGAACAATCTTTTGTCTCAAGGGATGCTGGTTTACAGCTTGCTTGTACTCTGCATGGAAAGTAATTGGATAAAACACAGCCCACAGGGCATTTGCTTACATCAGAAACCCATAAACCTTTGCTATTTGAGCAAGTTGACATATAAAACTTGCAAACAGCTGAACACCCAGAATAGAAGGGTTACTGTATGTCAAGGCTAAGCAGGGTTGCCAAATTCAATACTGAGCATGCCTCTCAGGTTTTTAATGGATATGCACACAAATAATTGTAGCCAGTGCCATTCTCCACCACATCAGCACTAATTTAGGAGAAGATGCAATGAAAATCAGAAATTCAGACGGCTGGGGCCATCAGCTTTGATGATCCCACAGGATTCACTTTCCATAAAGGTGGCTGTGTTAATCTGTTGTAGCAACTTGGAAACCATGACAGTCTTGTGGCAATCCAAAGGGTGAATGTGATTGTTGTGGCTCAAGGTCTTCTGCAGCACAGCTCACTTCATCAGATGTATCATCAGATCACCTAAGCTTGGAACAAGATACTTAGCAGACCAAGTGTGGGGCTACCCTGGTTTGGAAGTTGCAGCCAATGCAAAATCCACACAGATTTAGACATATTATGCCATTGTTGGCTGATTTGCACTGCCTCCTTATTACCCACTGAGCCAAGTTCAATGTTTTGTTGCTGACATTTTAAGTCCTAAATAACATGAGAGCAGGCTACCTAACAGACCATC